AACTAACACCTTGAATCGCACCCGGAAGACCACCGGGAGCCAGTGCAGCTCACGTAGGAGAGGTGTTACATGGGTGTAACGAGCTGCGCCCATAATCACCCGCGCGGCTACGTTCTGGACCAGTTGGAGCCTCCGGGTGCTTTTCAAGGGGAGCCCCATGTAGAGAGCATTACAGTAGTCCATACGGGAGGTAACTAGGGCATGAGTGACCGTGCGCAAGGCGTCCAGATCCAGAAAGGGACGCAACTGGCGGATCAGGCGAACCTGATAAAAGGCACCCCTGGCCACGGCCGTCAAATGATCTTCTAAAGATAACCATGAATCCAGGAGGACACCCAAGTTGCGGGCCCTCTCTGTGGGAAGCAAGATCTCATCCCCTATTGTCAGTGATGGTACTAGCTGACTATACCGGGATGCCGGAAGCCACAGCCACTCGGTCTTGGAGGGGTTGAGTCTGAGCTTGTTTCTCCCCATCCAGATCCGCACGGCCTCCAGGCAATGGGACATCACAGCAAGGGCATCATTGGGGTGGTCGGGGGTGGAGATGTATAGCTGTGTGTCATCAGCATACTGATGAACACTCACCCCAAAACCACGGGTGATCTCACCTAGCGGTTTTACATAAATGTTGAACAGAAGGGGTGAGAGGACTGACCCTTGCGGCACCCCACAAATAAGGTGCCTCGAGGTCGATCTCTGCCCCCCTGCCAACACAAACTGCGAACGGTCAGGAAGGAGGAGAACCACCGAAGCACGGTGCCCCCTATTCCTAACCCCTCCAGCCGGTGCAGTAAGATACCATGGTCGATGGTATCAAAAGCCGCTGAGAGATCTAATAAGACCAGGATAGAGGAGCAACCTCTGTCCCGAGCCCTCCAGAGATCATCTACCAATGCGACCAATGCCGTTTCCGTGCTGTATCGTGACCTGAAGCCCGACTGGAACGGATCCAGATAGACAACTTCATCCAGGTATTGGGGTAGTTGTTGCGCCACCACACTCTCAACAACCTTCGCAACAAAGCGAAGATTGGAGACTGGACGATAATTTGATAATATAGCCGGGTCCAGGGAAGGCTTCTTGAGGAGGGGCTTCACAACCGCCTCTTTCAAGGCGGCGGGAAAAACACCCTCACTCAGAGAAGCATTTATAATCCCCTGGAGCCAGCCTCGTGTAACCTCCCGGGAGGCCAGTACCAACCAGGAGGGACACGGGTCCAATAAACATGTGGCAGCATTAAGCTTGCCCAGAATCCTGTCCACGTCCTCAGGAGTCACAGAGTCAAACTCTTCCCAGATAACGCTCTCAAGACCTGCCCCCGTCTCCTCCCCTGGATCTACCCAATCGGAGTCCAGGCCTTCCCGAATCTGAGCGACTTTATCATGCAGGAATTGTACAAAATCCTCAGCTTGACCCTTTAAGGGATCTTCCCGTACCCCCACCTGAAGTAGGGAGCGGGTCACCCTAAACAGTGCAGCTAGGCGGTTCTCTGCAGATGCAATAAGAGCGGAGAAGTAGCTAGACTTCGCCGCTCTTATCGCCACTAGGTAGGTCTTAATATAAGATCTCACCTGTGTTCGGTCAGATTCAGATCGGCTTGTCCTCCAATCGCTGTCCAGGCGTCTTTTCCGATGCTTCATCTCTCTCAGCTCCTCAGAAAACCAAGGAGCTAGACGAGATCGGCATCGGGTCAGAGGCCGCAAAGGCACAACGCGGTCCAAGGCCCCAGTAGCCGCCCTGTCCCAGGCGACCACTAGGTCCTCAGTCGAGTTGTGAGCCAGAGTCTCAGGAAATGGCCCAAGCTCCATCAGGAACCTTTCGGGGTCCATCAGGCGCCTGGGATGGAACCATTTGGTTGGTTCCGTCTCCCTGCGGTGGGTGGAAGTGACTTGAAAGTAAAAAAAATAGAAGCCTGCGGTGACTACACGTTGGCATGATTTAAGCAATACATTTTGTTTGCATATTAGACTACTGAAGAAGTCTCTTCAGCTAAAATTCACCACCGAATTGCATATGCATATGATGATAAGTATATTGACATGAATAATGTTCATCTTTGGACTAAAATATATATATAAAGATGGTGAATTGGGAAGCACTGATTTGTGTGATCAAGAATGAGTAGGCAACCTCTGACAGCAACTGATGAGTTTCACATAAGAAAGGTTGATGAACGCATTAAAGACTATTGACAGATCACTCCAATGGAAATTGCTGTCAAGCTTGCTATTTCACAGGAGCATGTGGGTCATATTGATGTTCTTCAATATCAGAAGGCTTGTGCAAGATAGGTTCTTTGCACACTGACAACAGAGATGAAAGCTTCAAGAACTGATAGTTGCTAGCAGTTGTCATACTATGAGAATGAAGGTAAAGAATTTCTTCACAACATGATGACAGTCAATGAAATATGGGCTCGCACCATTATTTTTCACCTGAAAAAACAAATAAAAACAAAATCTAGGCTTTCCCAGTTATGGATTTTGGGGCATGTAGGTGGTATTTTTTGCTTGGATTTCCTTGAAACCTGTCACCATTATTAACTCATAGCATTACATTGCAACACTCAAAACTTTGAAAAAGTGATTAAGCAAGTTTAGAAGCACAAGAAAGATTTTTTGCTGCAACAATGCTCACCCTTCATGAGCTTTTCAAGGCAGTTATTAAACTAGATATCACTATCTTTACCCCATTCACATATTAGTCCAGCCATGCAACCTCTGATTTTCCCAAAATGGAAAGAACAACTTTGTGGGCATTTGTTTGAATCAAACAGGTGGAAGGTCAGGATCTGATTGAAGAGACACAATGTGGTGTTCTTTTCTGTTGACTTTAAGAAGCTTGTCCATCATTGGGAAAAGTGTGTGGCAAATGGTGATGAAAAAAAACCCAGCTAACCATGTCATGGTTTTTTTCCCCCTGTTTCATTTATTAAAATAACCCCATTTAAACTAAAGTTATGGAGTCAAGACAATTTTCATTCAATTCTTTTAGCCCCAAACCCTGGAACTTTGGCACAGACAACTTGCAATGTCACATGACAGCCTATTTCACTGGCTGACAATTCATAAAGATCCTTCTAAAAAATGGATCTTGTTTCCTAATTTTGTTAGCCTTGCAGGGCTTGATGAGCATCAATAATAAGCTGACAGATCTGTAGTTTCTTCCTGTTTTTGAAGAATATTTTACCTTTGTTTTGCTTCAATATTTTTAATGACTGACTTTTTTTAGAGGAAAAAAAACCCCCCAAAATGTTTCCATAATCTGCTTGCATAATTCCCTCCTTCACTTTCATCATTTGACAAGTCCTATATTTAAATTTATTAATTTATATATTACTCTAACCTAAACATGGCAAATTGTATTGCAACAAAATGAAAAATACAGCAATAAACAATTAAAATGATTGAGCTGTTTACAGCAGTCAAAAGCAAACATGCCAGGGGGTAAAAAGCCTAGTGAATCAGTATCAATTCAGGAATTTTTCCAAGAATCTTTTTTTAAGAGAACAATTATACAATATGTGCTTGCTGAACTTCTACTGGTAGAGAAATCTGGTTTCTAATGTACCCACTCTCCATCTTAAATGCTTACTGCTATAGTATCAGCTCAACCCAATACGATCCTGGATGTCTTCTCAACAGATAGATCCAAGAACTATTCTTCAGTAGCACCCCAATCTTATCAGGATTCAGTCTCATTGTAGGCCCTCATACATTGCTACTGACAGACTTCAACCTGCATCAATCACTTTTATCTATTGAATGTAGAGATTGATATGAGTATCATTATTATACTGATAGCATTTTGCCCCAGGTGAATGAGTAAACTTTTGAAGTCTTCTTAAGTGTTAAAAGAGAGATGAAGTCTAACTTGCAGCATCCTGTAGTCTAAATGCCACACTTGTAATATAGTGTTAGTAGATTTTTCATTTCTTCTGCCCATTATAACTTATTAAACCTTTTAAATCATAAGACCTGTAAAGTAAAAAAATGTTCATATATAACAGTGATGGTTAACATTTTTGGTGCTAAGTGCCCAAAGCATGCACGCGTGCAAATGCACATGCACATGCCCGAACCTCCAAAATGCAATGCGAGCACATTCCCCGTGCATGCACCCCGCCCCCATGTGGATTCCCCATGCGTGTGTCCCGCCACCCCTGCGCATGCGCCCCAGCCCCCCGTGCTCCATTTTGGCTACCAGGTTGGTGCAGGCAGCTTTCCAGGCCCAAAACAGGGTGTGGGGGCACAGTGTGAGGCCCCCCGTGCCCTGTTTTGGCCTAGAAAGCCACCTGCACTCTCCTGTGCATATACCCCACCCACCCCGTGCATGCACACGTGCGTTCCCCACATGATCCCCACCCCCTGTGCAGAAATCCGAAGACCAGCTGGCTGGTGGGAAGCACTCGCGCATAAATAGTGAAGCTGGGCTGGCGCAACAGCTGGTGTGCCATCGCCCCAGCCCGGATATATAATATATGAAATGATCACAGAATATCCTGTTGTATTACTGTTATTTATTAAAGCTTTAAAAATACAGCATACATCATGGAACATGTAACACGAGCTTCTACATTCTAGCCTTCTGAATGATTTGATTACATGCTTGTTTCACCAGATCAGCTCACTTTTAATTATACCAAATGTATAAATAATTGTTAGGAAATTTTGACTTCATTTATGTGGCTGTAAAAATTTAAATTTTCGAAGATGTCATCTAGGGGGCTACTTGAAACTCCTTTATATATCTACTTTTTATTACTTAGAAAATGTCTTTCAGATGGTTTTGGAAGTTAATACAAAATATGAAGCTATATTTAATTGCAAATTTTATTGAGTAATGAAGTTTGTCAATAGGGATCGATGTGGAAGTTGACTGCAACTGAAAGATAAAAAGTTTTTGCTTGTTAAATAGAATAAATAAACAAGTAACTGAAGTGGATGTCAACATTTATATGTTTTTATTCATAAATAACAAGACTTTTTTTCCCTTATCAGCATATTCTTGATATGACCTTTGGAGCAGGAGGTCACACAAAGGCAATTTTACAAAAGGCAAAGGGTATTAAAATATACGCACTCGACAGAGACCCCACAGCTTATGAATTAGCTCAACAACTTTCTGAATCTTATCTGTGAGTATAGTTTTTATTTTTTGTTTGATGGGGGATTATGTACAATTATTGTGTTGACTCCTCGTGACCAACAGAAACATTTTTTTATGATGATCTGTCCCTCACTTGATCCTTCAAATCTTGCAATGTTACACATATCAGTACTTTAATTGAGTTCATTCACCTCATTGCTGGTTGTTCCTTTCTCTTTCCTTGCAGTTTTCTCCGTCATTAGATCCTTTTCCAGAGGGTTGGCTCTTTTCATAATACGTTGAAAGTAAGATAAATAAAGCCTGTTTGTACCTTGAGTGAGAACTCTGGGATGACATGCGTGATAATATATTTGTTTATTTTCTTGGCTGTCCATGGTGTTCTCAGGAGTCTTCTCCAAGCACCAGATTTTGAAGTTTTAGTGCATTTTCTATCCTCCTTCTTCAGTCCAACTTTCATTTCTATGGAGTGTCACAATACCACTGCTTAAATTATTTCAATAACATCTGAACATTTTCAGGGCCTTAGCGGTTCTACTAAGTGCTGATCTATGGTATTTTTTTTTTATTTCTTGTTCCTTTACTGTCAATGATGAACCTAAAGGCAGAAGCTATCCACTACTTTAGTAGTTGTACTGTCAATTCTAAGGCTGGAGCTTATTGTTTCTATTTTCATTAATTTGATCTTTTTAATTTTAAATTTAGTCTAATTTTTTCACTATGCTCCGTGATTTTATTACAAGAGGCTGCAGTTCCTTCACATTTTTGGCTAATACTAGTGTCAAAAGAGCTACTTTTGTATGTTGTATGTATGATAAGTATTTATATATATCAACACTGATACATTACAATTATGTATAGTTTATCTTACTTTTCTAGTGGTATAATGATGCTCAAAGCACACAAATATATTAATTTTACATTTAATAAATAGATAAAATGTATTCATATTCACACTTAAAAATGAATGGTATATGAAAATTTGCTCTAGCGAAATAAAGACTAATTGAAAAGTTGCACTGGTAAAATAAAGCCAGCAGAAATGCATAGTTAACAAACTAATTTCTGTGGTCTCCACAAAACATGGCTATGACCTTTGTTGATTCCAGGATTAGAAATCGATTGCCTTCAGAAGTGGAAATTTGGGAATTCACTATAAAATGTATGTATGTATGTATGTATGTATGTATGTATGTATGTATGTATGTATTAAACAAATTTATATAGCTGTCCATCTCACCAAAGACAACTCTGAATGATGCACAGCAGATGATGTTCCTCCCTCTTTCCATGTTAGGTTTTCAAAAAAATATTATTCTATTGATTTTAGAGATCTGGTTGTAGTATGTATTTTAACATAGAAAAAAAAATAGAATCAATGCTTTATAACTGGTATATTGGTGGTGTGGCCAGAGATAAATTAAATCTAAATTATTAAAATCTGATGTATACACATGCGCACACACATACACTATATTTTCCTTATTTTGGTTTGATAATCATAGTGGTGACTTTTATTTAGGAACCATATAGAATCAATCAGGGTTCCAGTTCTGTCCTGTACAGTGCTTGTTTTGGTACATAGCCTCCTATGTAGCCAAGGCCATTTGTTTTACTTCTTGAAAATGAAAGGCAACCAAAACAAGAATGTAAATCAGAGTGTGTCAGAGTTTCACCCTGGACCTATCAATAGATTTCTCTAGTAACACAACTATGCAGTACACTCATGAACCTAACAGCAGAATATTCAAGGACAAGCCTTTATGTTGTTATTTGTTTTACAGATGTGATTGAAACTCTTATTATGATCATCAGCTCCTTTGGAATCTACAACTGTACACAAATTAATACCATATACCAGTTCTGGACTTTAAGCCCTATTGCTGTTTCTTGTCCTTACATGAGATTATTTTCCATCAGTTTCTCAGCATTGGTTGTTGAGGGGACTTGTTTTGATAATATCCTTGTCTGATCTCAAAAGTATTACCTCTAATCTTGATGGCATCAAGACTAACATCGCTTTCCCTCTTTAATTTCCCTTTATCTTAAAAGTTTGGAGATACAACAAAGTTGTCTTCATTCTTCTTAGTCATATAAAACTAGGAGGGCCTGTATTTCTCCCTCTTTCCTTCTATTTTGTCAGCTGAAGATTATTGTTTCCTTAGATGTTCTATTCTTCCTTCCTTTTGCTTTGAAGGATTACGTATATCCATTTCTAACTTCCATTTCTGCTATTTCTACTCCTCACACCCAACAACAAACCTATTAGGAAGACACTAGATTTCCATGTCCTTATTTTTTTTTTCAACTGATCTCCCAGTACAAGATTCTCTTCTTCAACTTCAGGTAAAGTGGTTTTCAGTTTCTCAGTTGTACAATTTCCTGTCTTCCTCTTTCCAATCCAGTCTATCTCCACCTCAAAATCATGCATCCAACAGTAGGACTGATTCCATCAGGAATGACCTTTTGGAACAGTATTTCTCAACTTTGGCACTGTTCAACTTTGTGATTTAAAGTCAGTTTGGTAATTTTCGGAATTGAAATCCATAATTTTAATTTTATTATTAATTTTAATTGCAGCTTTTATCACCATTTGTACATTTTTAAAATAAATTTATTTCTCAGGTATCCAGTGCCAATTTTAATTTTTATTATTTTAACAGTTACAATCAGGTATTAAACTTTACTGCATCAAGAGACAACTTTTTCATTTCTCAGTTGCCTTGTCTTGATTACTATGTATGTTGTCTGGGCAGATGTAGTAATATACATACCCACACACATATGCAAATACACATGCAAACATGGAGAGACACACACATTTATTGTGTCATTGAAGCTGATGTTTATGTAAGTTGAAGAATATTACAATTGAAGTATACAACTGCTGTAAATTGTTCAGTGAAAATCTGATGAAAATAGCTAGCTGTCTGTTTAGGATTGTTATGAGAGATTTCTAACTTCCCACATTGCAAAGATTTCCTAGTAATTTCACTGAGGGGAAAAAAATGTGTTTTCATTCATTCTGCACACGTTTCTGTGTCTGTCCATAAAGTTTTATTGTGCTTAATTTTGTAGTGGCTTAGCTGAAATAGATGACAATTTGTGAAAGCTTCTTATTTAGAAACTGAGGGTATAAATTTCTAAGATAACTATACATTTAAGTAAAACATTAATGAGTGTGAAAACCCAACTTTGACCACCTTGTGAATCCGACAAAATTCTACAGGAATATTGTGGCAGTTCAGTAGATAGCACCTCTGTGAACACAATAAGGCCACCATACCCAGATCACAAACTACCTAAAATCAATTCTAGGTTTTGGGCTGGTGGGCCTAATTTGAATGTTGGGAAGTTGTGGTTTCTCTTGAAAAATGGTGCTTGGGGGTGATTCTCCACTCAAAATCACATACTATTCAGTTATGGCTTTGAAATTCTTACTCAACTTTAATTTTTACTGGATACTTTTGAGCGAGTTATTCTTTTCTTGGTCCAAGTTATTTCAGAGTTGGGTTAGAATAGTTGAAAATTGTTCCTTATTTTTATATCTTGAGCTCATGGATGAAAAGCAATGTGTATAAATGCAGTGAACCCCATCAATAAGTAACAGCTTACAAAGCACAGTTTACTGGAATGCTTACAGGTACTATTGTACCTGTAGCTTTCTATCTGCAGGATATTCCTGATAATCCCTGCTGATCTTGATCACTCCATAGTTTCAAAGCACTGACCTTTGTAAGAAAACCTGTGGAATTCTTACAGGATGCCAAACCATTCTTGCAGATAAAGACAGATGTATTTATGTGTAGTCCCAGTTTTTGTATGTGTTTTTATGATTCCCCCCCCTTCTATATGCTGCCCAAAGTGCTTTAGATTTAGGCAACTATAACAAATTTAATTAATCATAATCATAATATTTTATTTATTTACAGTATTATTATATAGTATATTATAATATATGAAAACAAATATAATTAAGTTATATATACATGTGTCTGTGTGTGTGTGTGTGTGTAGGTTTTTGGTTATTCAGGTTTTCTCCCGCGTAAAATTGGAGGTGTCTTGGCAATGTTTCGACGAAGTCTCATTCTTCATCTTCAGGCTGGTATTTTTGGCTTCGTGCTTCTAGGAGCAATGTGTGTGATCGTAGCTGTTTCTTCCTTTTAACTGCCAGTGGGGGTGTGAACTGATTGGGTGGGAGCTTGGCTGTGTTCTGATTGGGTGGAGGTGTGTTCTGATTGGGTGGGGGTTTGGCTGTGCTCTAATTGGATGGGGGATTGGCTGTGCTCTGATTGGATGGGTGTGTGTTCTGTTTAGGTGGGGGCTTGGTTGTGCTCGAGTTAGTCTGAGTAGCAGTGGGATTTGAGCTGGTGAGCTGTGTTGCTGTTGTTTGGCTTCGTGTTCGTGGCCATGCCACCTCTTCATGGTGGGTGTCAGTCTGCTTCATGTATGGATTGGAGGGGTTTAAAGTGGCTAATGATGCAGCTGTGGTCTGGCTTCTGGTCCGTGGTCATGCCTCATCATCAGTGTGGGTTTGAGTCTGCTTTCTGCGTGGATGTGTGGTGGTTAAATCCTGTGTGGCTCTCGTGAGTGTGGGTCTGGTGTCATTCTTTGTGTTAGGGACTCGTTTGTCAATAAGGGCGGATTTCCAAATGGCTGGTAGGCGGGAGGTATCATCTCGTTTATTCATGCTGTGTGGACGTATCTTGATGGCTTCTCTGATTATTCTCTTGTTAAAGTGTTCAGTTTTGGCGATAGTTCTGGTCTTTTTAAAGTCAATATCATGTCCTGTGGCTTTGAGGTGTTTGCATAGCATAGCTCACTGTGTAGAATCCCAGAAATGATAGTCTATTCAGTACAAACAGTTTAATTTTCAAATTTTAATCAAGCAAATAAGTATAAAGGGATAACATACCATTGGCCAGCCTAAGGCATACTCATTATTTATTTTCTATTTTTCTTGTGTTACTTATATAGAGAGAGATCCCCAAGGATCCCTTATATCTAATTCCCTTAGCTGTTCATCATACA